AGAGTTTAGAGCCATTATCATCCATAGATGGAGCAAAAACTTTTTGAGGTAGTAGTGGGTCCTCAAGTGGTGGTTCAAGAGGTGGTGTGGTTCCACTAAAGAAGTCTTTTGGAGTTGATACCACTTCCTCATCATTGTTATTTCCATGTGCACTGATTAGAACCAAATGTATAAAATATCTAGTGTCTTTCTTATTACTGATTGACAAGGTAGAGTACATTGGTACATCTTCTAGAAAGAAAATAGTAACCAACACCTTCTTCTGACTAAAAATCCAAACCCGATAAGCCAAACATCATACATCTCATTGAATAATCTTCCCATTTATTTCATCTTTCCTCAATTGAAATGTATGCATATCCTACACACCCAAACACAAGTAAATATTGTTCCTACAAAAGCAGTACTGGAGAAAGCACTATATGAAATTTGAACAAGTTTGAAACCATTGTATTTTGCACATGAACCATAATATTCACAACCTCAACCCAAAAGAACATTAGAACATGATTGAATTAGCATCCCCAATTAGAATAGGATGACGTGTTGCAATCTTAGCCCCAGATGACATTGGATGTTTTGAGCATCAATTTGGCTACATTAAGGAATGTTAACATTTTTTACTCCACAACCCATTTTAACTATGTTTATATGGTGTAGAGATTTGGAGGAAGGTACCACATGATGCAAGGATTGTTTAAAATTCTCATGAGAGAAGTTCTATCCTCTATCAACTCTAAGTGTGTGGATTGTCATCCCACATTTATTTCTGACACTTGAATCCATTCTAGGAACTTACAAGGTGCCACAGATTTCTATCTTAAGAAATAAACAATTGTGTAATGACTTAAATTGTCCATAATTAGTAGGAAATAATAAGCACTATTGAGTGACTTTACTAGTGACACTCTCCAAATGTCAACATGAACTAAGTCTAAAATATTTTTACCTTGAGTAGATGCTTTCTTTGGAAGTGGTTTCTTTTCATCTTAGCTTGAAGACATACCTCATATGTGTCCAAACTTGTGTTCTTTAAATCTAGCACTCCAAATGCTAGCTTAGGGATTTCCTTCATTCGGTCGAAAGCTTGTATAGCCTTGCCAAGGATGCCATAACTGTAAAGATGAGTTTTTAGAAAAGAAGATAAAATACACACTTGGATTGTCTAGTGAAAGGAAATAAAGGCTATTCAAGGTTATTGTCTAAACAATTCATGTTTGATGAAGAATGAAGTCTATTGTAGTGTGATGAAAGAATGTGTACACTCCTTGCTTTGTGAGTTTTGAGACAGACAAAAGGTGTCTCACTAGCTTCAGCACATATAGAACATTAGAAACCTCAAGTTGAAGATATGAAAAATAAATTATGCCATATGCAATTATTTGTAAAGCCTCACCACTTGCTATGCTAATTGCCATATCAAATTTACTATAGCTTATTTGTTTGAAGAACCTCTTATTTGAAGTCATGTGATGCATTGCACTCTATCAGCCAACTCATACTCTAACATTTCCCATTTTGAATATAATCTGCAAATACAAAAGATGAGTCCTTGAAAAAATGAGTACTATTAAGATCATCCTTTTCCTCATGTGTTGCTAAATTTGCAATTGGCCCCTTTTGTTTGAGACCCTTTTGATTGGGACAATCTATTGCATAGTGCCTGAAACCACAGCATTTGCTACAACAAACACTCTTATACTTCTGTCGCACTTGTTCTACTGAGTTGTGCTCACTCAAAAATTTCTGTCACTTGAAAGAATTTCTTCCAATCTCCTGAGGTGCCATTGCCACGTTTCCTTATCCTTCTCTCTAGCATCCTTGTCTTGTTCAACCTAGCATAGTGGTGGATGTTAGCGATCACTTGATCTAATCTTGGACAAAGACAATTTTTCTAGAGCTCCATCTTGGCTTATGGTACTTCTTATTTAGTCTGAGTATTATAAAAGCTCTAGTCACATTGGAAAATGTTGATCTCATATTCTACAGCTTATCCCCAAGAGTTGTCATCTGATCTATATAATTATGAGCCTTCTTATGTGGACTTTGGTGGTAGTTCACCATCTGATGGAAGATGCTCATAAATATAGCCCAAGATTTCTTACAGTAGAACTGTTGGAGAGTGTTCTATGTCACAGCTGTTATTTGAGAATTTTTCACCTTTAAAATATCCTCTAAACGCACTTGCTCAATCAACATCGCTCTTGCAATGACATTGTTCTGTTTGAAATCTTTATGCCGTCACTAATATGCTTGGCTTTGCTCCACAGACATTCAAGCAACTTCTTTTGGAGGGGGAAGAACCGGCATTTATTCACTCCCTGTGACCACTCTTAATATCTTTTATATTGGAAAACCATTGAAATACATTATCATGAAAAAAAAAGAAACTTCCTTTCTTCCTTTCCCTTCCCCATCTTAGCTTGAGCCCTTACTATTTAGCTTATTCTTGACTTAAATGTAGTGCATGTGATCATGGGATGAGTGTAAGCGACTAAAGTTTCCATTCTACTTTAGTCACTTAACCACACTTTTGACCACTTGGAGGAATCTCACTCACAACCTATTCTGAGTCCTATGTGAGTGAGACTTTTAGAATAGGACTCCTATTCTGGGCTTGGGGACTTGCTATCCCTGAAAATAGCACCTATGCCATTTAACCTTTACACTTAGTTCAACAATGTATACCAAATTCGACAGCTTACATGTTTGATCCCATGACCAACACCCAAAGGTCTACTTTAGTCACTTAACCACACTTCTGACCACTTGGAGGAGTTTCACTCATAACTTATTATGAGTCCTATGTGAGTGAGACCTTTAGAATAAGACTCCTATTCTGGGCTTGGGGATTTGCTAGCCCCGAAAATAACACTTATGCCACTTAACCTTTACACTTAGTTTAGCAATGTAGACCTACATGTTTGATCCCATGACCAACACCCAAAGGTACCATTAACATATCAACCTATTACGCTAAAGTCATGTCTATTCACCTTTGTTGCACTGGTGATCCAACACCACCTGCATTATAGTCTTGTCTCTCAAAAGTTGGGCTATTTATCTATAAGTGATCATCTTAGATCCACTCTTTAGCATCCTTAAGATGTTTACAGATATGGGGAATAACCTTTCCCAATATCCTTTTTTCAGTCCCCACTAAATCCCTTTCCGTCCACAGTTGTCCTTCCAAAAAGCAAAGCCCTACTACGGCCCTTAACCCTGGTTGCTTACACTACTACTGAGTTAGGGCTTAAAGGCCCAACCACTATGTTCCATTGACCTCTAGGACTTCTTTACCACATGACTACATCATTAGTCACTATACAAGAGGATTGCTCCTCTTTTTTTCCTCAGTCTAAGACTCTGGGATAACATTTTGAAACACTGCAGCTCTATGCGAGCCTCGTGAGTAGTCTCCCCAACTTCCACCTTTAGGTGCCCTAGCTATGCTAGAGCAAGGTTCTAATGAGTTATGCTAAGTATCCAAGTAGGTAATGCCACACACACTTAAATTGGGAGTATCAACCATTTGATGTCCCAGGGGAGATAAAGCCAACTTTTGAACACTTCACCAAACTACCCCATTTGTCTATCCATATTCACTTTAACTTTGGACTTCTCAATGGTTATATCATCACTTAACACATAGGTATAGCCTTTTTAGGTCACACTGGCCTTTCTTGGCTAAATTAGTTCCATTGAAGTCCTACACTTTCTTTACTATATTTTTGGAACCTCTTGCAGCACCCTCTTGGGGACAATCATTTTGGGCTTTCATCCCACAACTTGTATTAGTATTCGGACTCGAACTTAGACTTAAACTTAAACTCGGACTCGGTCTCGATTTCGATTTCGATCTCGATTTCGGTCCCAGTCTCAGTCCCAGTCCCAATATTAATTTTTATCTTGGGTTCATCTTGGACTTCATCTCGGACTCCATCTCGGACTCCATTTTGGACTCCTTCTCGAATCCATCTTGGATTCCATCTTGACACTTTTATATGTCATGTGTTTGTCATTACTTATTGCTTGTTTCATACTCATTCCTTGAGCCTTTCGTTAAGAGTTCCACTCTTGACTTTCAAGTCGGAGCTTTTAGTCTAAATGTGTTACGCTCGTTTGGCTTCCGCTTCAGCCACTCCTTTTGGCTTCACTTTGCGGCTTAGGGATTTGTATCTCATAATGAGATTTAGATATATTGTCATTTAAACATTAGGGAATAAATGAAGATAAATATTTATTAAAGGTTCTCTCATCAAACAATTGCCCCTTTCCCCATTAGCTTAAAGGGGAGAGAGATAAGGTATATTACATATAGTATAACATAGTTATCTACCGTAGGACTATAATATGAGTGGATAAGGATATTGACATCTCTAAAGGGGGCATGAGTGTAATTATATATATTAGACATCCATGCATATATATTTCCTCTTGTAGAGCATTCATACACACTACTGACCAATTGGAAAAGCTAGAGCCCCAGAAAAGAGAATCTTTTAAATAGGAAAGTACTTGATATATATTAGTACAATACTTCATACATATCTTAGTTATTTTGATTGCACTTTGGTTCTAGCAAAATATATCATTTTAAATATGGTTCATTTGCAATTATTTTTTATATTTTATTTCTAGGGGGTAATAATTGCCATGATAGTACTGATGCATTAGTTGTACTAATAAAACATACCTAATCCCTATTGTGAACAATGACTACTACTTAAAAAGGAGGGGAAGAACTTACTTGATCCAGTGGAGATAAAAGGCAGCTTTAGGAACAACTAGACATATAGCTCTAATAACTAGACATATATCTTGCTCCTTGTTACACTCGCCATAATCTTGCAAATGCTCCTAGCACGTTGGCCAGCTTGCTTCCAGCAGGAAGAGCTTCAACTAGGCCATCAAACTTGAAGTTGGACTTTACCCTGGAGGTTTACAAATTAAGGACTATGCTTTCCTATTTAAGGAAAGAGGAATTGGTAGGTTACCCTATGGAGCAGGGATTGTTGAACCCAAATGGCGAGTATGATCTTGCTGATATCTACAAGAGCTGGAACCTTAGTCGCCACTGGATTATGTGGCGCCAGTTCTTGATGAATCTCATCTGTCATGGCTTCACTGCATATGGGTTTTATATGGCTACCATACGTTGGCCCCCTCAGCTATCCCCTCTGTTAACTGTAGCAGGTTACTTTGCGGCCTGGATCTTGTCAGGTCAGCTTTCTTTTCCTTCTTTTTTTCTGGAGATAACAAGAGCTCCATGCAGGATTTATGCTTTTTCAATTTGGTCGAAAGAAAATTATCACATACGGTTTTCTTGTTGGGGGCATCAGTGGTATTTTTTCCGCATTGATCACGAATCAGTGGGTGGTGCTTCTGCTGGTGGTGATATTATACTGTGGACTTTTCACTCCAGCAGCAATACCTTTGCCTGATGATTGGAACGACGGCGGCGGTTTGGTTGTGTTCATAATGGTCGGTTTCATGAGGTATATGGCTTACATGGCCTGTATTGTGGCTGCCATCGTTGCTCCACCAGTTGGATGGCAAGTTCAAGCCTTTGCACTTGTGGGATCGACCGCTGCTATTGTCTATGCGATGCTGGTTCATTTCTACTTGTTGGAGTCCCCACTAGAAATTCTAGATGGTTATAATGCTTTAGCAACAATGGATATGGACCAGCTGCTTGCTATTCGACAAGAGAAGGCCATTGAAGCTTTGAGGGTGTTTGCGGAGGCCACAGGGAAGACTCTACCAGAAAATTTGAAGAGCCTCAGGAAAGTTAGTCCGTTGGTGTAATTGGCTTGTGTGTGCCTGAACTTTAATATTTTGAATTCTCATGAATGTAAAAAAACGTTGTGAGCTCTCACCTCGGTTCCGCAATTGCAGCCAGTTTTTAAGCTCGCACATGCAAGCATCGGCATGGTCACCGGTGTGTGATTCACATTGTTTCGCTTTTTCTCTTTCATTCTGTTTTAAAAGTAACTACATGATGATGATACCACCATCCTGCCGCTCCAAATCCTTAGTACGGTGAAAAGCAGGGACTCTCCTCCATGATTCGCGAGGTGGCTTTGGTGCGGCAAGAATGTGATGAGCAGAAAGTGTCTGGGAAGCTACTCCATGATGAAAATCGCTGGGTAAGGAATCCTGCACGTCGAGGGATCTCGCCAATGGCCAGCGCATCCTACTCGGTGCTGGGCTCGGCTGGGCATATTGAGTGACCTGCTTCGATTATACCCGGAACTCAACATGATGTCGTGGTCTCAGCATATGCCCAGAGAGGGCATCTATTTTGTTTTGGAAACTTTATAAAGAGCCGCGACGTGGAAGGTTACACACAGAGATGCCGTGCACACATGCACGGGAAATATTTTACCGGGCCACTATACGAAACGCATGGAACACCATGGGCGCAGGATATGCCCAAGCAGGGCATCTTGATAACACCACCGGCCGCAGTGGAACGAGGTGATCATCGGAACCATCGACTCCCCGATGCCCTGGAGTATGGATCACGGGATCTCGTGATCTGGACTGGCCTTCGGCTTCTTGCGAGAGAGCTGCCGTGAGCGCTGAGGGAAACCTGGCGAGCCAGGTGGAGATCTTCGTCGAGGCCAGGATCACCACGGCACTACGCGACGAAGCGCGATGCGCCTTCCGCGGTCCTCGATTCCGACAAGGTCACCCGCGATCGATCCATGAATCCATCAATGAGAGCGAAAGTAAACCTAACAGGAAGAAGTTATGTGATCCAGACGGGGTCAGTGGAGATGTAGTCGGCTCTTTTGTTTCGTTTCCCCCCCCCCCCCCCCTTTTTGTGGTTTTTCTCTCGTGCCGGCAGCTCTGGGAATTTTTCCATGCCTTGTTACGCTCGTCGTAAAACGCTCCTGCAAATGCTCCTCGTCCAGCGCGTTGGCCAGCAAGAAGAGATACTGCTTCTTCCGGCAACCTTGAAGTCCAGTAGACTTGGAACTTTACTCGACACCTGATTGCCCACTGTTGAAGGATATGGGTCACAAAATTACTGCAACATTGTTGAGCGAGACCGCCACTTCCGCGCCACTCTGTCTCATTCACGCCATGCTTCTACAGAAAAGAGAAGATTGTAAGAGTAAATTCGCAAGGAGAACTCTCCAGACTTCTCCACCACAAGAGAAAACATGTTTTTAAATGAATTGGTCGATCCTGGCGGGATTTGGCAGCTGAAGCTGCAAGGTAAGAATAACTCCATTCCATTCTAAAGTAAGAAATCAAACATACGCTTGCTGCGAGCGAAGGGCCACTGTCTCCATGAGTAGCTAGTTTGGTTGATCTACAATCTGCACATAAGCCATGAGAAACCTTTGGTCTTTCTTACTTGAGAAAAAATCTTCAAGTTATTTTACCAACCAAGCCTGTGATGAATAAGTTTCGAGAAAAATATGAGATAAAGAAGAAGAATGTGCTACTGTCCAGTCCCGACTGAGTAACAAGTCGAGCTTTCTTCTCATTCTCAGCATTGGCCCAGCAAGTTCACGTCACAAACGTTTTAGAAAACGAAAAGATTGCGGTGGCGACTGATCATCCAGAGGGTCAATTCTCCCGGTGAAGAATACAGTTGGCCGACATGGCTGGCCCCTGGAATGGTTTGGCTGCTTTATATATCCCTGTTCATCTCCTGTTTCCTGTGTCCAGTTGTTCCACTACCACTAGACTGCCACTAGATTGCATTGCGACCAAAAGGACGCCCTGCCAAGAGATCTGAGCGTTGGTTTCGCAGAGTCGTTTCTTCCTCTCAAGATTCTAAACGCAAGGAAGGTGCAAGAAGTAATCTTCACCGGTTCCATGCGCTCTCGAGAAGGTTCAAGGAAGACTGGCTGGAGAGGTTCTTTGTCTTCTCTCCACCGGCTGAGGCTATCGAAAAAGCTCATGGTCAACTTACCAAAACCGCGTGGTTTCTATTTCATCTTCATCCACTTCATCGAAGCTTTTTGTTTTTTTTTCCCAAAAATTCCCTCACTGTTCGGGCTTTTTTGTTTTCTCGGGTTCTTTCTAGTTTCCCTCGTCCTCGTCCTCATTCGCCTCATTTCTCAATTTCAAAGTGTCACCTCTACCCTCCCGTCCTCGTCCTCCTCACATCTTCTTTTTCCTTTTTACCATTCTCGTGTGAGATCCTGGCAAAAAAAACTCGTCAGGTACTTCCCAGGTTTATAGTTGTATGGCCGCCAGAAGAATTTTATGTTTATCGTAGATCCAGTTGATGAGTAGGTTGTACAAGCTCGTCACCTGTAATGCATTTAGGAGCAGAATATGCACCATTTTCCCCAGCTCGGCAGGCATCGGTCTTCTTAGCGGTAGTTTTATGAAAGAGTTGAGCGAGAGTTGTTTATCCACCTTCATGCAATCTTTCCTGCATATCGCAAGGCATACGAGTTTTAAAACATTAAATAAGAGTTGAGGCACACCTCGTACAGCCATTGCAAGGATGCTGAGGAGACAACTTGTTCTTTTACATCTTCTGCCAGACATCTTCTTCACCGGCGAGCAGAAGCGGGGACCTCTTGTGGATCATGTTGCTCTTGGCTAGGCTTATCAGGAGGAGGTCCAGATTGATGATGGCTGTTTTCCTGGATCCATAATGGTTAGAGTAAAACAAAAGGTTAAAGAAATAGCAACTCACGCATTCAATACGCATTCTCCAACCCACCCGAATCCATGGTGCGCTCTGCACGTAGAAAAAACCAAAAGCATCAATCAAACAGTCGGGCTCCTGCTCTAGTTTTAAACATCGTTACTTCTTCGTTGTGTTCGATGCTTATGGTCATACCAGTATTTTCTTCATTTCCTCTTTGATCTGGGACGCTGTGAGCTGCATGAAAGAAAAAACGAACTTAATATATTTATCAATAAGCAGCTTTCCTTGCCTCTTCTTAACAGCCGCGTAGAGGGCACTCCTCAAGGAGAGTTTGATAGACCTTGATACGGATTCCCATTCCATGCCCGCAAATGCAAATATGTAGAGCTGGATCCAAGAGTGTTAAGGCAGCAAATGGCAATTGTCTTCTATGACATACATTGATTTTATTACCTTTACTACTTGCTTAGCTTGATGATCTTCATCTTTCATCGGTGGGCATCAAAGTTCTAAAAAACCCAGCTCACGTTCCCTATTGGTGGGTGAACAATCCAACACTTGGTGAATTCTGCTTCACAATGATAGAAAAAGTTCCCAGAGTAAAAATAGTAACAAGTTATGAAACTAGTTTACTTCCAGAAATAGGAAATTCTTAATTGTGCTTGATCTGCTCGATAAGTTGACATCACAAACTTGACTTGACCAGACCAATGGTAACACACTATCTTCATACGGTTTGTCTATTTATTCTCGCACGAGTCCCCACCTATCTTCATACGGTTTGTCTATTTATTCTCACCTACAGGCTGCTGGATTTTCTGCCCCAGATCCAGCTTGGGGCTCGAGCAGATTTACGAATCAATAGGTGAATCGGCACATACAGTAACGCAGGTGAGGATGAAGTCGCTAAAACGCCTGGAATATTTTTCTGTTTTATGATATATTAGTTAGAAAAATCTGGTTTTATAAATTGTTATTTTATAGCAGCCCGAGATAACATGTCAGCCATAATCCTATGATAATGCTCGTTGTTGCAAAATGATGGAAAGTCAATGCTATTTGAGACAAACTTCCTCATGGCAAAATTTAGAGTTCCCAAGTGACTGCACGAAGTGAAAAACCCAGTAAAAGTTGCAGCATCAGGATCGAAACCATATATCAATAGCTCCCGGAAGATTTCAGCACAAAGAGATGCAAAATCTGGAACTCGGGAGCAAGCACACACAAGTGCGTTCCACGACGCCAAATTCTTCTCGGGCATGGTTAAGAATACCTCTATTGCATGCTGGAAAAATCCATTGTAAGAGTAGGCTGAGAGTAGTGCATTCCAGGAGGCAATATCTTTCCCAGGCATTGTCTGAAAGATCTCTCGAGCAAATTCAACATCCCCGAGCCTGCCAAAACCGGACAAGACAGTGTTCCAAGAGATGATATCTTGGTCAGGCATTTGAAAGTATAGGATAGCTCTTGCATCTTCAACCTTTCCAGCATTTGCATAAGCTCCAAGCAACATGTTCCACAGAAAGATGGTCTTGAAAGGTGGCCGTGTGGAATCAAAGGCACACTTGATCTCTTCCAGAGTAGCATTTTGTGCTATAAGTCCCTGTAGCACTGCTCCATACGAGAAAGCATTCTTTTCCGGCATGGAGTTGAGTAACTCTCGAGCCGACTCTCTCGGGAGAAAAGTTAGAGCCACCGTCGAGGAGACCACATTGTGCCTAGGCATTCTCTGGTAAAACAAATCTTTGGCCTGCTCAATAAGGTCGTTGTCTCTTAATCCTGCGAGAAGTGCCGTCCATGAGATCATGTTCGCAAATGGCAGAGATCGAAATGCTTTTTCAGCTTCTTCCATCTCGCCAGCTTCGCCATAAGCCTGAATGATCGAATTCCAGGCAGCCAAGTTCCAAACTGGCATCCTGTTTAGAAGAAATTTCACCTGATCGAAATGCCCAATCTGAGCGTATCCTGCTACCATTGTCACCCACGAAACAATGTCCTTTTCCACCATAAAGTCAAACACACTCTCACAAATTTCAAGTTTACCTTGGCAAATGTAGGTTGATAGAGTAGAATTCCAAGTTACAATATCCCATTCTGGCATCACTGCTCGAGTCTTCTGAAATTCATGCAAATCATGGGCATAAGCAGAAAGAAGAATGTTCCACGACTTTACGTTCCAAAGTGGCATTTTCTTAAAGACCTCTTGTGCCCGAGCAGCATCGACGACTTGCGAGAAA